TTATACAGTTTATAAACTCTATATCTAAGCTCTATAAAATAGAAGACAGATGACAACCAAGAACAAGCAACTCATGCACGGGTGAAATAAGTTTATACTACCTATATTATGACATGGAGGGATAGGTGGTGTCTATTGCATTTAAGACTGATAAGCAAGTACTACTATTGTTAATTATGTATGTTTTTGCAAGTTTAAAAGATACTTTTTATAATTTAATTTAAAAGAATTAAATGAATGACAACTTTTAAAAGGTGGTGGTATGTTATTCCAGCATTTCGTGGCAGAATAACGGAAACTACCACGAAATGCTGCAGTACTGTGGCTCGGACATCCAAGTTGTGAAGCAAGCCTCACACTCCGATGCGAAAATATAAGTTTTTCAAATAAATATGGTGGACTTTTAGTGCGTACAACTCCAAACAGTAAACACGCGTAATGGAGTGCACGCCTTGATTTCATATTAAGTAGGCTTCCTTGATTGAGGTACGGCGAGACGCGGGCTCTACGCGGGATGTTGTAACAGAATCGGGCACAGGAATTCTGAACCCGCTGTATGACTTTCTTGGTATAGCCATAGATACATTCGCCTATGACGGTATCGGCGTAGTTAAGTTTGGACAAAACTAAGGATTCACATAGTTAGATTAGATTAGGTATAATAAACTGTGATTAGATTTTGAAATCTAGATTTATTTTATTTTATTAACAGTCCTAGGTTTCATTTTTACACCTTCTTGACTTTTACCACTTATATTCAGAGTACTCTCTCTGGTGTGTAAGCACTTGCTTTACATAAGTACCTACCTACTGAACAAATTTTATTTACAATAAACAGATTTTTTTTTTAAACTAACACAAACTTAACTCTAAACAAAATAAAAATATAAACTCATTTATGACTCAAAAATAAAAGTTTGTCCGTGAGGCAAAGAAGCGAGGATGCTGGCTGCATTTCCTCGCTGAATAGGTATGCCTTTGTGCAAGTAAAGAGACAGCATTTAATTTTCCGAAATTTTAATTAATTTAGGGAAAATGGTCCGTCGCAGTACAGTACCTACTTGTGTAATTTACATACATTGCACCACTTACTTTGACTTTGAAGCGTTAAAAATCTGTCAAACTCCATACAAAAAGCACCGGTTATTGTTAAAGTTACGGTGAAAGTAAGTTGATGCAACTCAGCCTTAATTGGTTTGCCCACCCCTTGAAACTTACTTAATTGGTACTTTATTAACTGCCCCACCTTTTCAATCATCACAGCCATATAATTTTTAAAGCCTTTTGTCCGTTTTTAAACGCAAAAACACCCCGATCACCTATTTTTAATTAAATCTACCAAGTTTTAGAACATCCACCGGTCCAATTTCGTCAAATTTGCGTTTAGTTAGACCTGCTTGCGGCACTGCCGGCAGCGCTTTAGAAGCGATTTAACAAAGTTAACTAAGTAAGCTACACTGGGACTTGAGTTGGTGGAAGCGGATACCCTATGCGTGGCATTTATCATAAATTACTACATCTATACTAAATTATAAATGCGAAAGTAACTCTGTCTGTCTGCCTGTCTTGCTTTCACGCCTAAACCACTGAACCGATTTTGATGAAATTTGGCATAGAGATAGTTTGAGTCCCGGTAAAGGACATAGGATAGTTTTTATCCCGGTTTTTTAAAAAGGGACGCGCGCGATAAAGTTTTTCTGTGACAGACAAAATTCCACGCGGACGAAGCCGCGGGCGGAAAGCTAGTACATAATATGTCTTATTTGATTACACTCTGAAAGAACTCAAATTCAAAATAATCTTACGCCCAGGGGGTCTAGCCATAACCGGAATACGTTAAATTGCTCCATGAGACCAAATACTCTGAGGATAGACCCCCAGACAAAGCTATAAGCGTGACAGTTGTAATTCCAAAATAGCTTCGCTCCGGTGTTCTTTTGTGTGCAATTATTTTGCTTCGTAAATCGATTTCGAAATTAAAACTAGGCAGTCTCTGATGTAGAACTTCTTCTCAGTCGTTTTACTCTTGACAAGTGGTCGTGGCTATCAGGAGTGTAAATTGTTGTGGGCGGATTTTTTTGAAACATTATTAGTAATTTCTCATTAGCCCCTCGTGGTAAGCTAAATGTGCTTGTGTTACGAGTGGGCTCACCACAATAGCCCATACAAATTGACGTCGATAAAAGTTATCACGGCGCGCATCTTAGGCCTACAGGCCGACTCCTTCACCGTTCGACAATCGTGGCTTGGGATGTTACTTGCCTCTCGATGTCTTTTTTTTTATCCACAACTAGGAAGCTCTTTGCCTGTATCTCACCTGATGGTAAGTGACGATCAGGCCAAAGGTGGAAGCGAGCTTCACCCGGAATCCTCAACCACGGAGGAACTAGCTATCTTACCTCTAACTGCCGGAACAGAATAATGCTGTTAACATTGTTGTTATGGCGACAGGCTTAGGTAAGATGGTGGTAGCTAGCCAGGCGGACTTAGAACAAGCCCTACCACCAACCAAACCGAACAGAAAAATCTGCCCGCACTGGGAATCGAACTCGGGACCTCTGCGTCTGAAGCAGGTGGTCTTACCACTAGACCACAGAGGCAGTTAAAGCCTGGTCCGTGAGCACGTAGAATCCCGTCCAATGACCCCAAGCTACCCTTCCCTATCGCTCACGCGTAATTATGTTGCTGTCGCGCTCGCACACTCACTGCGGGCGCCCGTCGCACAGTCGCGACAGCAACATAATTACGCGCGAGCAATAGGGATGGGTAGCTTGGGGTCATTGGACGGGATTCTACGTGCTCACGGACCAGGCTTTAGTAGGCGTCTCGCCTCTTTGCCATTATTTTCAACTGACTTCAAAAAAGGAGAAGGTTCTCAATTCGACCCGTATGTTTTTTTTTTCTATGTTTGTTACGCGATAACTCCGCCAATTATGAACCGATTTGAACAAATCTTTTTTCGGCGTATAGGTAATACCTCAAGGGTGGTCCCATTTAAATTTAATAATAGAAAAAACAACCCCCAAGGGTGAAAAACTGGGGATGAACTTTTTTATACGCAATATCTCCGCCGATTATAAATCAATTTGAACGATTATTTTTTTGTTGAATAGGTATTATCAAAAGGGTGGTTTCATGCGAATTTGAAGAAAATATTTCACCCCCAAGGGTGGAAAATTGGGGATGAACTTTTTTATACGCAATATCTCCGCCGATAATGAACCAATTTTTTTTGGTCTCAGTGTACTGCCTACCTTCAGTGGTAACATCAAGGTAATAATTAGTTAACTAAAAAGCAAGAAATAAGTAAAATTTTATAAAATTATTAGGACGAAATATTAATAATTCGCCCTAATAAATAAGTAGGTAATTAGTAATTATTTTTCTACGTTTTAGTGTAGGTTTTTTTTGGAGTCGGTTTTAATTTTTTTTATAAAATTTTGTGTGTAGCAAAGTAATTTGCTTCGTAAATCGATTTCGAAATTACAACTAGGCAGGCTCTGATGTAGAACTTCTTCGCAGTCGTTTCACTCTTGACAAAGTGGTAGTGGCAATCAGGAGTGTGAATTGTTGTGGGCGGATTTTTTTAAAAGATTATTAGTAATTTCTCGTTAGTCCGTCGTGGTAAGCTAAATATGCTTGTGTTATTAGTGGGCTCACCACAATAGTCGAGCGGCGCGGCGGTGGGATTCAAATCCACGTTCCCATGATCTTAAGTCGGCCAGGCCGACTCCTTCACCGTTCGGCTATCGTGGCTTCGAATGTTGCCTTCGAATCTTCGAACTTTAGTTCGTTTACGGATCTCCTCATTTCTGATTCGATTTCGTAAAGAAACACCGAGCATAGCCCTCTCCATAGCACGTTGTGCAACTTTGAGCTTCTGTATAAGGCCTATAGTGAGAGGCCAACAAGGTGGACCGACGACATCTTAAAGGTAGCAGGAAAGCGCTGGACGCAGGTCGCTACCAACCGGGTAACACGGAAAGCATTGGGGGAGGCCTATGTTCAGCAGTGGACGTCCTATGGTTGAGTGAGATGATGATGATGATGATCGTATTGTTGTTTGTTGCAGCGCTCCTCGCCGTCCCCGCGCGGTGATGTCGGAATGGAGGTGGTGCTGCCCCTGGCGGTGGTGTGCGTGCTTGCCGTGAGCGGCGCGCCCAACGCGACGCGGCGCCGCCCCGAGCCGCTGCCCGAGGAGCCGCTGCTGGACGACGACGATGACGCGCGCCTCGACTACTACGACGAGGAGCGGCTCAACATCTCCGGTGAGACCCCAGGCCCGCCGCGACCCACGAGCGGCGCCACGACGCGACGCGGCGCGCTGCCCGACTCACTGCCCGACGACCTTAAGTAGGTACTACGACGAGGAGCGGCTCAACATTCCCGGTGAGATCCCCAGGCCCGTCGCTACGCGACTCACGCAACACGAGTGGCGTCCCGACGTGACGAGCCGCTGCCTTAACTGCTATGACGAGGAGCGGCTCAACATCTCCGGTGAGACAATAGGCCGCCGCGACCCTCGAGCGGCGCCACGACGCGATGCGGCGCCGCCCCTACCCGCTGCCTGAAGAGCTGCTGCCTTAACGGAGCGGCTCAACATCTTCGGTGAGACCCCAGGCCCGTCGCTACGCGACTCACGCAACACGAGCCGCTGCCCAACGAGCCGCTGCTGGACGACGACGATGACGCGCGCCTCGACTACTACGACGAGGAGCGGCTCAACATCTCCGGTGAGACAATAGGCCGCCGCGACCCTCGAGTGGCGCCCAGACGCGATGCGGCGCCGCCCCGACCCGCTGCCCGAGGAGCCGCTGCCTTAACTACTACGATGAGGAGCGGCTCAACATCTCCGGTGAGAACCTGGCACGAGCGACGCCCCGACGCGACGCGGCGCCGCCCCGAGTCGCTGCCCGACTCACTGCCCGACGACGACCTTAACTAGGTACTACGACGAGGAGCGGCTCAACTTCTCCGATGAGACCCCCAGGCCCGTCGCTATGCGACTCACGCAACACGAGTGGCGTCCCGACGTGACGAGCCGCTGCCTTAACTGCTACGACGAGGAGCGGCTCTACATCTCCGGTAAGATTAGATAGGCCCGTTTACACTTTACGATCTAGTAACGTCTTATGAGTTGAGCCAACATGAAGCTGAAAAATCTCAAAAGGCCAGCATTTTAGAAGAATACAGACTGAGTATTTGCAGGAACTAGGTTAGGGTCACTTAGGCCGCCGCGACCCATGAGCGGCGCCACGACGCGATGCGGCGCTGCCCCTACCCGCTGCTCGAGGAGCCGCTGTCTTAACTACTACGACGAGGAGCGGCTCAACATCTCCGGTGAGACCCTAGACCGCCGCGACCCACGAGCGGCGTCGCCCTGAGCCGCTGCCCGACGAGCCGCTGCCTTAACTACTACGATGAGGAGCGGCTCAACATCTCCGGTGAGACCCCAGGCCGCCGTGACCCACGAGCGGCGCCACGACGCGATGCGGCGCCGCCCCTACCCGCTGCCCGAAGAGCTGCTGCCTTAACGGAGCGGCTCAACATCTTCGGTGAGACCCCAGGCCCGTCGCTACGCGACTCACGCAACACGAGCCGCTGCCCAACGAGCCGCTGCTGGACGACGACGATGACGCGCGCCTCGACTACTACGACGAGGAGCGGCTCAACATCTCCGGTGAGACAATAGGCCGCCGCGACCCTCGAGTGGCGCCCAGACGCGATGCGGCGCCGCCCCGACCCGCTGCCCGAGGAGCCGCTGCCTTAACTACTACGATGAGGAGCGGCTCAACATCTCCGGTGAGANAATTTTTTTATTGTTAAGGGGATGTTATTGTAAATTCTAGGTGCCATACATAATATACTTTTACTCATAAGAGCTGAATTTGAGGGGGGCATCCGTAGTCTTGAGTAGTCGCGTCGGTTGCGACTGACAACATCCTCTAAACGAATAAAAAGTGACGGATTGGCCTTAACAAACAGTACTATTTCTAAAATATACAGTGTGTCCGGGCATGTAGTGATCAAACAAGGGCGTAATCTATGGACAATTTTATCGGTGAAAATACTTTAAATTTGGGGCTTGACCCATTTCTCGCATATTTACAAGGATTTAAGTTTTTAATTTTAAGTTTTCAGCTCTTCCTTCAAAAACAAGTGATAGCGTGGGTAGTTTAACATCAATAAGCAAAAATTTTATATCATGCGATAGCCAATAAAATTATCTACTAGTAGAAGTAGAAAACAGACACAAGTTGAATACATTTTAAGGGTGTAAGAATGGATTTAATTAGAAAAAAACATTATTTTTTTCACATCTTTTTCAGTTATTTCCCAACACAAGAAAAACCAGGTCGTTAAGGTATGTTTTATTTGCATTTCATTATTACTATTTGAGCTATTCTACAAAACGAATGTAAATTTATTAGTCTACGTCTATTACTTTTGACGTAATTGTTGAACAAAGATACCCATTCCCAGCGGTTTCCATAGCGCACGCGACATGCGAAAATGCACTGCCTGAAAGAATCACACAACCTATTCCGATTACTATGGAAACCGCACTGTCTACTTCAGAGATTGTCATGTTATTGTATATTACATTTATGTCAGGTGCAGATATTATTCTTTGTCGGAATTTCACAACTTGTGTCTTAGAAATATTTATTTTTAAACTAGCTTTCCGCCCGCGGCTTCGCCCGCGTGGAATTTTGTCTGTCACAGAAAAACTTTATCGCGCGCGTCCCTGTTTCAAAAACCGGGATAAAAACTATCCTATGTTCTTTCCCGGGACTCAAACTATCTCTATGCCAAATTTCATCAAAATCGGTTGCGAGGTTTAAGCGGGAAAGCGTAACAGACAGACAGACAGACAGAGTTACTTTCGCATTTATAATATTAGTTGGGATTGGGATTGGGNGATCTAGTGATGGCTCATGAGTTGAGCCAACATGCCGCTGAAACCTCAGCCTCAGCCACGAGCGGCGCCCCAACGCGACGCGGCGCCGCCCCGAGCCGCTGCCCGAGGAGCCGCTGCTGGACGACGACGATGACGCGCGCCTCGACTACTACGACGAGGAGCGGCTCAACATCTCCGGTGAGACCCCAGGCCGCCGCGACCCTCGAGCGGCGCTGCCCGACTCACTGCCCGACGACGACCTTAAGTAGGTACTACGACGAGGAGCGGCTCAACATTCCCGGTGAGATCCCCAGGCCCGTCGCTACGCGACTCATGCAACACGAGTGGCGTCCCGACGTGACGAGCCGCTGCCTTAACTGCTACGACGAGGAGCGGCTCAACATCTCCGGTAAGATAGGCCTGTTTACGATCTAGTAATGGCTCATGAGTTGAGCCAACATGCCACTGAAACCTCAGCCTCAGCCACGAGCGGCGCCCCAACGCGACGCGGCGCCGCCCCGAGCCGCTGCCCGAGGAGCCGCTGCTGGACGACGACGATGACGCGCGCCTCGACTACTACGACGAGGAGCGGCTCAACATCTCCGGTGAGACCCCAGGCCCGCCGCGACCCTCGAGCGGCGCCCCGACGCGATGCGGCGCCGCCCCTACCCGCTGCCCGAGGAGCCGCTGCCTTAACTACTACGATGAGGAGCGGCTCAACATTCCCGGTGAGATCCCCAGGCCCGTCGCTATGCGACTCACGCAACACGAGTGGCGTCCCGACGTGACGAGCCGCTGCCTTAACTGCTACGACGAGGAGCGGCTCAACATCTCCGGTAAGATAGGCCTGTTTACGATCTAGTGATGGCTCATGAGTTGAGCCAACATGCCGCTGAAACCTCAGCCTCAGCCACGAGCGGCGCGCCCAACGCGACGCGGCGCCGCCCCGAGCCGCTGCCCGAGGAGCCGCTGCTGGACGACGACGATGACGCGCGCCTCGACTACTACGACGAGGAGCGGCTCAACATCTCCGGTAAGATAGGCCTGTTTACGATCTAGTAACGGCTGTGTGCTAGTGAGTTGAGCCAACATGCCGCTGAAAAATCTAAAAAGGCCAGCATTTTAGAAGAATACAGACTGAGTTTTTGCAGGAACTAGGTTAGGGTCTCCTAGGCCGCCGTGACCCACGAGCGGTGCCGCCCCTACCCGCTGCTCGAGGAGCCGCTGTCTTAACTACTACGATGAGGAGCGGCTCANGTATACATTATGAAATAATCACTAATAAATGTGATTAATTTATCACTTTTACCTCGCCTGTCGGTAATTATTCATAATAACCGGCGATTATTCATAATTTTCAATTTATCACATTAACCGTAACATATCTACAGAAAACGCCGGAGCGAAATAATAGTTAATCGGAATATCCAATGACAGTTTAACTTTCCCCCGGGAAAAACTTGCCCTTCACTGGTTGGGTTATTGGCGATCAAGCTGTAGATCTTGGCTACACAGGAGTTGCAGCGGTGGGAACGAGAGGTGGGAATAGTCCCGTTGGCGGGCTACAGAGGATTTTAGCGGTGGGAACTATAAGTGGGAATATTCCCGTACAAGTAAACTGGTTTCCATCACACGTAATGCACCCCTCGATGGTCCTCTAATGCTTAGATTGCGTGCGCGGTCTCACGCGACTGAGGGCTCGTTAATAAACAATACCCAATTACGAAGTTCAGCTATTGACTTAAGCATACTGTGGTTAGTCACACCATGACCGTGAATACGCCGGCTGAATTAGTAAAGTAAGTTGTCTTTAACATTTGCGAAGTTGGAATCGATTTGGGTTATGTTGAGTCGTTTAAGACGTTGGGAATACCTATTGGGTACAGACAGATTAATTGCAAACGGAAATGGAATATTTCTAAAAATAAATAGGATGTAAAATATTGATCTTACACTCAAAATAATATTATATAATCTTTTTCTGTTTCGGTACATTTAAAGCAAAGTACCTACAATCTCGTAGCAGCAGCAGGCGACACGTGTCACTGCAACGCACTGGTTTCTACGAAATTGCTTTAGACGACATGTTGCTAGCTATTTCATAGAATACATGGAAGCCAGTAGTGTCAAATGGATACGTCGTCTGCTGGTGATGCGTGGAATTGGTTACTAAATCATATCTTTAAACGTTCTTTTAACATTATATTTAGAAGCAAACAATTGAATTATTTTAAGAAACATGGCTGGAAAACTATCGTGATTTTAAGTTCCAATGATATCATGACCTTTTATAACAAATCCTAATTTCTGAAAAAGAGCTATAGCCCCGTGCCTCTAACACTGAAACTGGATTCAACTGGACAGTGACTGAGTTTTTCTTGCGCTGCTTCATCTCAGCTCTGGCCCATTTATTGTCCTGAAGCAGTGGTAGGGTTAATACTGGGACGTGTAAAAGTGCTTTTTAAAAGCCTACTTGCAAAAAAAAATTAGTTTTATGAGTTTTTACAAAAATATGCTCTTCTTCTACAGAGAGTGTTGGAGCCAGCATCGTTCTCCGTGTCGGCGGACCGACGGTTCCTGCTCCTGGCCCAGGGCTTGAAGAGGATCCACCGCCACTCCTACCTAGCCCGGTACACCGTGTACGATATACTCACTACGTAAGTACCTCTATGCTGAATCATCACCATTTCATATTAATGGCATTCCACAAAAATCATGATTACCTACTTACTACTGGAGTGGCAGTGGGCGGGGAACAACATAACTCGTAGAGCTGATGGCTGGAGCAGAAAAGTTCTCGAGTGTGGATCACGAGCGAGCGGAGACGTAGTGCGGGCCGGCATCCCTCTAGGTCATTGGTTCCCTAAGTGGGGGGGCGCAAAGACCTTTAAAACTTTAAAGCGGGGCGCGCTCGATACGACCAATAAATAATCTTAACTGGAGGAGGGGGGGCGCGGAATTTTTTGTATGGTCGAAAGGGGGCGCGTCTCAAATAAGTTTGGGAACCAATGCTCTAGGTGGACCGACGATCTAGTGAAGGTCCCGGGAAGCGCCTGGATGCAGGCAGCGCAGGGCCGGTCGTGAAAATCCAGCATTGGACTTTTTAGTTGAAACGAAACAAACGAACGATTTAGAATATAACGATAAGCACTCTTCTCCTAATTTCCAGGGTTTCTAAACGGTTCATCTCCTTTGCCTCTGGTAAATTAGAGAAGCAGCCTACTGCAGCGGAGGTAAAAGTATAGTGAACTGATGATGATGAAAAACATAAAAACCAAACAAAGATAATATTAGATGGAAACATATGCCATGACACACAATTTTAACTACAAAGCGATTTTAGTACCGAATTCATTCAACCATCCTAGCATTATTTCAAAATACCTGTCTAGTCCAAACAACAAGTAAAAGCAACAAAGGCCTTTTTTGCGCGATCTTTTGTGTTCAGCATCTGCCCATTGTGGGTTTTGACTTGCATAAATTATGGAAGAATGGCGACGAGGTTGATTGGCTGGGGAGCAAACTGGGGCAATATAGGACTAAAATCAATTATGCTCTTAAAGGCGCTTACAGAAGGCCGAGCGACTCGTCTAATTTTAGAAGTCGCCTTAAATTGATAGTTTATTTATTTTGTAAATGCATAATACTTGTTTTCATACAAACACCTAATAGGTACCTAATTGTATTGGTTAGGGATAAAACCTACCACCACTGGTGTAGGAATGTAGTGAATTCTCAAACTCAAGCTAAATCTTTATTAAGGCTAGCCATATAGACAGGTAATTTTTCACTCAGAAATAATTGCAATTAAATATTGAAATTCATATCTTTGTCAGAAAACTAGTTAAGGAAGTGTGTAGTTTTGTGCTATTTTATTCTAAATTTTAAATTTAAATAAACAACTTGAGAAAATCGAACTGCCTAAGGCGGGACTCGAACCCACGACCTTCCGCTTGCCGGGCGACTGCTCTTCCAACTGACTCTATTTGCTAGGTAATAACGATTTTATTCTAAGTTGCCGCAATCCTGTGGTTCGGACTATATCAACGTATATTTAAAGTGCGCAAATCCGACATCTTTTCATTTTCGCGCTGAAAAAGAGCGCTATTCCCCGAGTCCCAGTAGTGAGCCGTTAAACATCTGCCGAAAGAAATGGACCATGAAAATCGTTATTTAATTTTACCACAGCTAATGTAGAACAGACTGACCATTTCAGAAGATTTCCCGAAGTCAATTTCTCTAAAAGAAAATCCTTTTTTTGTCTCTGTCGCAGGCAAATTGTATGATTCCGCATTTTAAAAACGGCGTCGTCAGTTTACAAACGCTCGCTGTTCTGTGAAATGCCGAAGGCAAATTGGCGACTCGTTCAATCGATAAAATTTCGACATGATTGTTGCAATAGGGTGACCATCATAAAACACATGTAGGAAAATCGGACCTTATATCAGTAATTGAAATTCTATTTAAATAGACCATATCGATCTTTAATTTGGTACTGAATTTTGTCTCGACTACTGTCCCTATTAATATCTAACAATATTTATTTATTTGGTCACCAGCAAGGTTACACTTTAGCGTTCACATATCATAATAGTCTTCCATAGGTATGTTTTCCGTTGGGCTCTCAGGGCTGTCTTTTTTCAGAATAAGATAGACCACATCGCCAATACTCATACATCATATTTTTTATACCATATTTATAATATTCCGCAGCAGTCCTCCGAGCACCAGATCCCATTGTCACCTTAGCGTTTTTTACATGCCTGATAACCTCAAAAACTTTTTCATTTGTCTACGGCTTTTTCACTGCTCCTATTTTTGAATCGTAAAATAAATGTCTTTAAAACAATAGTTTTTTTGTGAAAAGTCCTTTGAATACGTAGAATTTGCACTGTTTTCAATATTTTTCAGTATCACAACACCACTACTCGACGCCATTTTTCTTGTTTTGATTGGCAGCGCCTCGCGTGGTAAGAAAAAGAACTAAATTCTTCAATTTGCCGCGGCATTTTGTAAACGGCGATTGAATTGGCTATCAAATTTTGTGGCATATTATAAAGTGCCAAGGCAATTTACATTTTGCCTTCGGCATTTCATAGAACAGCGAGCGTTTGTGAACTGACGACGCCGTTTGTAAAATGCGGAATCATACAATTTGCCTGCGACATCTCCACCATTATTTCTTATCGCAGTTTTTATTCTTATGTAGGCAAATTGGATTTTAGTAGATTACAAAGGCTACTTTAGTGGCCATAATGACCAATAGATGGACAGACGATCTCATGCAGGAAGGCACTGAATGGATGCCGCTACCAACCGGGCGATGTGGAAATCATTGGGGGAGGCCTATGTTCAGCAGTGGACGTCCTGTGGCTGAAATGATAATAATGATAAATGACCTGATGCAAAAAAGTGCTATAATCATGCTGTTCCACAGTTTTAGGGCTCGAGCTCACTGGTGACTTTTGTCGCCGTGCCTTTTTTGTCACCTCCATGCCTTTTTTGGTACTGCGTACATGCGTACCTCCATATATCTCCATGGACTTGGTATGAGTAACGAAATGTTATGGCGACAAAAGCCACCAGTATGCGCGAGCCCTTATAATACCATCTCAAGCCAACCCGCGACCGCTTTGTTTTATTTTTGTCATCTGCACTTCGATCTCGATTTATCTCAGGTATTTTATAGACAGTGGGCTATTTGTTCTCTTTACACTAGAACCCAAAATGCGGGTAAAAACTGCCTCTACCCAGCCACATGGGAACGGAATACCAGTATTGTCACAATTCCACGGAATGGACCATTTAAACTTGGTCTCCTTTAATATTCTAGTCTTTACTAGCTATTCTAAAGTTTATTACAATATTATTATCTTTAGATAATAAAGTTGGCCCTAAGACTTAGGTAATTTGAAATCAACTGAGATGAACTTGAAAGGCCCGTAAACACTCAAGTTCGAATCTAACTACACTTAAGAACAGATTCAAGCGTTTTATTACATTAATTAGATGCACCTAAACATTTCGTCTAAAATATCGTTTACATAATGAAAATATAAGACAACCTATAAAACGTTATTATGTAGGTATGTATTTGTTTACGACATAGCAGGTATCATTAGTCCTCCTAAAGACATTTGTTCTTTGCTTGCTTTCATAATATTAAAACAGACCAAACTTGGAAGACAGTCCCACATAGCGGTTTACACGAACAATTAAAACAAAGTTTAAATTAAATTCAAGGCATTATTATCCACATCGTTTTGACTCTGGAATAAGGGTAGTCTGAGCTAGTAGGTAGTAAAACTGTGTAGATTGTAGGGTAGAAAATACTTCCAAGTTTACTACAAGTAGTAAACATGCTGGTTCGAATCAAAATTGAGTCACAGCGCGGGCGAGAACCAGCTAAAATTAATTCAAAATATCTACCCCTTTCACTCACAATCGAGTCAATTAGTTGTTGACAGTATTATCATCATTTCAGTCACAACAAGTCATCCACTGCTGAAAGCCTCCTCCAATAATTTCCTGATTGGCCAGTTGGCATCGGCCTACCTCAATCCAACGCTTTTTTGCAACCTTTACATATAACCAAATTCCTCTATGCCGGATGATGATGACGTCTTCAAAAGTGTCACCTCTACATCATCATCGTCAGGTCATTTAGTCTCTACTACAAGAGCACGACCCTCTTGTTACCAGAGACAAATGGGGATTTGGCTTCCCACCGCTGGCTAGACTGGTTGGGGAGGACCTGGGAGGACTGATGTTCACATACTTATCCTTTAGTCTCCTTTTACGAAATCCTTTGGAAGAAAATGGGACCTATTTAATCTGACGGAACCACACGACAAAATATAGATCCATTTTGGTCTACGTTGTTATTATTAAGCTCGGTATATAAGACTGAGGCTTAATCAAAACTTTCGCAATTTTGACTTCACCAAAAAACGCTCATGCATGTATAATTTAATCGGAAGTTTTAATATACTTTCGACTAAGGATAGTATCATGATAAAATCATCTCTTCCTTGCTTTATATTTTCCCATTTTGAAAAAAAATAAAATATTTTTAACTTTATGTTGCGTCACATTATTAAAAATCGTACGCAATACCTACACTAACTACATAACAGTGCGAACTCGATATGCTTGGTTCGTACTTTCTCAGATCACTATCCTTATGATCTTTTTTCAGAAAGCCTAAAGTTCTTAATACAAAAATTTGCTATGGTTAGCAATAGTATAACTTTGTATTATTATAATGTCCACACAGCTGTAAAGGTCGTTTCACGTAGGTGCAGAAAGGGGATCTAAAATTAAATTGAATTTCTGCGGTGTATGCAAGCAAAGTGCAAAGCCAAGTGATTGTACGCGGACTCCAGTCCATATTATGCGAGATGGTAATGGCCGCTAGTGTGTGCCCACCTTATCTTCTTTAGCATATCGGGGTTGTCACAATAATATTTGAATTTAAAAAAAAAGTTTATTTTTTGTTAGTTTTTTGTGGAGTGCAATTTAAATTCTAATGTTAATTTACTGTTTTTCTCTGGAACGATACAAAATAACAGCATCAAAAGCTGTCTAAAAAAGATAAAGTTAATTTAATTGGAATAATCCCATGTCACTTACGTTCTTTAGACTGTTTTTGAAGTAGGTTACGACCTTTTAACGTAACTGTAAACTAGAAAAAGTTAGATAATGGACTTTTACGCCATAAAGGTTATTTATTCATTAAGCAATTGTTCTTCCCAATTAACACATAGATGATTATTTTTAAACAAAACTTAATGTTTTAACAACCTGAACAACTACCTATAAAATAATGGACTTAAACATTTTGTTTTAGCTTTTTATTCATTCTTTTAATTTAGCACCACAGCAAAAATAGCCTGACTTTATTAACACTAAAGTTACCGACAAAGCGAATTTTTCTTCCTTTTCCGTATCTTGGTTATATTTTAGTGACAGCCCTGGTTGGAATGTATTGCAACCGCTTTACATAATATGTGCATAGTAGAGCCACGTTCAGTGCGCTCATGCTTCGCTTTGCGTTCTATTATTGGGTCCAGTGGTAGTTAGTGGTAAGCACAATGAAATGTGCTTGAAACTGACGTATTTTTGAACCGTTTAGTGCTTAATTTCACATACAAAAATTCGTATGTCATGTATTAAACGTCGCCGATACAAACTCCATCCATGGTCCATCTTGAAGGCTTAGGCTGAGTTGTACCACCGAACTTTGACCTTAACTTTAACGATAACCGATTTTTTTTTGTAATGAGTTTGACAGATTTTTGACGTTTCTCAAAGTTAAAGTAAGATGATGCAACCCAGCCTTGTTGTGGACAAAACTCACTTTAAAGTACAGACAATGGCACATCAAGATAAATAATTTGGCATCTTATGTACCTACTACGAGTAATTATAAGTTTAGTGCTATTATACATAAAATAAATACTGATATGATATTGCTGCTACATTACCTACTTGATATAACTAGTACTTAGTAACCGACGATCTGATGAAGGTCGCTGGAAGAACCTGGATGCGGGCAGCGCAGCACCGCTCGATAAGGAAATCCTTGGGGGAGGCCTTTGTCCAGCAGTGGACGTCATTTGGCTGAAACGAACGATGATTAATATTACAAAAGATATAAGATCAATAATAATAACCATGTGTTGCTTGGTACTTACATATTTTTTTGTAAAGATAATCCACTACTAGAGAACCTACTCCTTTGTACTGTATATTACTAAGTGTGAAGAGCACGGATAAAAGTAATAACATCGTGTTATAGTATATTCTTTTACCTCCTCGCTTAGTTAAATATAACTTTTTGCCTCAGCGAGGCAGAATGGCATGTATTACATAGTGAACTGAATTATCTGAACAGAAGGGTTTTTTACGAACATGTAGAGCCTGAGAGGTTTCTTATATGGAGGCATATTTATGGTCTAATAGCATACACTTAGGCAGTTCATTGAGCTCATAGTTAAATAACTAATATCGGGGACGTGAGCTTCAAGTGTAAAATTGTTTTAAATTCCACCTAAGTAATTTAAATTCGATAAAGTGTCTAGGAAAGAGACTTATTCAAGCGAGTAACCGAACTATGTAAGAGGCCAGAGAAATATTATTATGCGAACATCAGGCCTCCCCAACCCGTCTGGCTAGCGTGCGGAGTGCAGGCCAAATACTTCAATTGCCTCTAGTTAGAAAGGGCCATCCTCCTGCAACGGGAACTATACATATAACCTGATGTATAGTTCGGCCCGGGGGAACCAGTCGGTTATGTGTGGCTCTCCCTGTCGAATGGGCAGGGCCTACTCACTAAAACCTGACGGTGTCCTCCCATAGTCTTAAGGACGGACTCGCCATTCTTTCGCGGCTCCGCCCCAGACTGTGGTTCAGGAGAGTTGTACCTTCCCTGTTCTTCGCTAACGGTGCGCGTGAACACTTGAGCGCGAATCTCTGGACCAACCACCACTTATCCTGTGTTAAGCCGTTACGCTAAATCTCCCATTAACTTGTCTCCTTCTTTACAGAGAGTCGTACCCCCTAACGCCTCTACCAGACGAGGTGGGGGGCGTCATAACCGAGGGGCCCCACTTACTACTGGCCACATGGACCCCCAAGGGTCACGGGCTCATCACCGTGAAAGATTACGACATCTACTACAGGCCGGCCCCCCGGTCGTCTACGGGGTACCGGGTGACGGAAACGGGAATTCCCGGGACGATTCACAATGGTGTTCCGGATTGGCTGTATGAAGGTAAGTTTGTGATATTTGACAAATCATTAATACAGGACTGTTGAAGTCTTACATAACCCTTCGTAAAATGGAACGCAATAAATAAATAAATAAATAAAAATTATTTATTGTTTCTCACAACCAAAATTTAAAAGTCACAAAATTTAAAATTAAGACTAGAGTAAATTAAATACAGGAAACAACATGAGGTTCAGCTCAAGCTGCCTCGAGAGCAAGTCCCGGGCTGCGCTGTTTTTCAACCTTGCCCAGTTCTCTGAAGGTGACAGTTGGACCAATTCGAAATGGTGCTAGCTGATATAAAAAAATCTATGCATCACTGTTACCGTGTTTGCCTGTATGTGTGCAATAATGTCACGCAGTCATTCTCATACGAAATAAGGACTATTTCTATCTCTCGTGCTTACTGCTAGGATCTACACCGTGTCAACCGTGTAGATTACAATGTCACTAATACTCCCAGACATTGAACTCCCGTTTTATTCCCAAAGAAAATGGAGCTTACAAAGATTCTAAATAAACCATCCTTGAAAGAAAAGAAATAAACGTTCTTAAAGGAAACGGTCGATCTTATTAATTTTTAGCTTTTTTTGTATACTTGATATGGAGCCCTCTTTTGCTTAAAATAAAGCATAATTTTATTTATTTTTTAAGCTCTCAACCAACACAACATTGACAAAACTAAGACAAGCAGTACTACATACCTTTTAACACCATAATCAAAATGGGCCCAGAAGACTTACAATCGTTCTTATAAATGGTCTGGATCCCTCGGTTACATTAACCTATTTTAGTTTAATTTCCTCGCAACGAGACAGGAACGATCATTTGATTCAGTCAAAAGCTCTGAGAATGAGCTTTTTCCGCAGTTAATCTAAATGAGGCTTAAGACGCTAGGACTCCGTTTATTATTTAATTTTGTATTGAGCAGCTGTTCTGCTTTAATTAAGTCCCTGTGGCCGTACCGTATCTATTAAATAAACTACTTTATAGATAGAAACTTAAAGTAACTTTATTATAATTGAGGTTATTGTATGTAAGTCTGGCAGGTTATACCGGACTACTGTATTACCTATAACTGGCACAATAAATGATTTATTGATTGATTTCGATCATGCATAAAACAAACCGTGAGAAATAATGTGGTTTTCGATAAGTGAAATACGAATAACATAGTTAAAATACCTGGAAATTAAAATTACTTACCAAACAATTGCTGCCATTAGTCATATGTGATTCACAAGAAAAAAGTTTCTTTTTAACAAAAAAAAAAGTTTTAACTTCAATTAAAATAAATAAAAATTACAGAAAACAACATTTTATTTTACTTGCAATAAATAATGCCTATTTTTCCACCTATCTCCAATTCAAAATTAATATCATTTTAATAACAGCCCAAAATCCAAGATGGCTGCCTCAAAAAAATTTTCGTCGTATACCTTCCTAAGTATTTCCCGTCGGAGTTATCTTAATGAGCTATAAAGTGGCAAGAACCTTGTTGAGATAAAGCGCCAGATATGCCTCGTGTCTTTCCGGAAAATGATAAATCTATAGCCAGTAGAAACTGGCAATCTTGCAAGTAAATAATAATAACTAATAACTTTAAATAATAATAACTTTAATCTATATCTACGTATACTAATATTATAAATGCGAAAGTAACTCTGTTTGTCTGTCTGTCTTGCTTTCACGCCTAAGCCACTGAACCGATTTTGATGAAATTTGGCATAGAGATAGTTTGAGTCCCGGGAAAGGACATAGGATAGTTTTTATCCCGGTTTTGGAAACAGGGACGCGCGCGATAAAGTCTTTCTGTGACAGACCAAACTCCACGCGGGCTCCTCGCTTGCCGGGCGACTGCTCTTCCATCTAAACTACTTAGATTACATTTATAATTTAGTTTGAGAAGCGACTCTCTAAGAAATTGTAATAACCAAATAACTTTGACATTGAACTGTCTTAATTGATTTGAGTAATAGTTTTAAGTACTTAAAATATTGTAAAGTTATCTCCTGGCCTCCACGAGATAGGCTTAAATTGCCTAGTGTAGAGTCCAAGATTAATCTGACAAATGTACTAATTGTTTTTCTTGCAATAAACGATTTTATTATTATTATAAAATAAAGACAGTTTAATCTCTATTTCAGCAATCGAATACTTATTCTTTGCAAAAATCTTCTACTTAAATCTTTCATCCAACACGTTGGGCGCCAATGTTCAAAAACAACATTGGCGCCTATGTTCAAAAACAACATTGGCGCCTAACGCGTTGGTCGAAATTAGTTCGCCAAAAGTTGGCTCTCACACTGTAACTCCATCGTTGAAAGTTATCTACACAAATTGAAAATGTGCTCCAAAAAGTGGAGCAAGAGGTCCGACAGTCAATTTTAATTCTTCCGGTTGATATTTGATATTTTTATCGGTCATACCTTTTCAATATGGCCGCCTCCAGTCCCGTAAAATCGTAATAAAGTTCAGTGATAGCGAGAATCTTTTGCCTTTGTAAAAACCATTTAGATACGAGTAGTGTTGTTCTTGTTTTTATAAACTATTTACAATATCGATAGATCGAATTGTTCCGATGAAGTGCGAATTAAGTATCGATTTACCTTAAGTGTACATAGAAATAACGATGTACTTGACGATACGTCAAAAAACATGTTAATTTACTTAAAACTTGACTTCTTTATGTGGGACTGTTCTAAACTCTGATTCACAGAGTCATTAGTAAACCTTTTATATTATCGCTTAAATACGCAAGCTATAAGTTCTATTATTGTTTGAATCTAATGTGTGATCTATTGAGTTAATTCAATAATTCATAATCTTTTTCTGACATTTGCATGACATTCAAATAATAATGATACTGGGTACTTTTTAATATTAAAAACATAACTGTACTTTTTTGTAATATTTGCACATCGTATGTACGATAGAATATGTTGGAAACTTCTTTCTCTATAACCTTGTAACCTTATTCTAGCAAATAAATTATATTATTATTATTTTTGTACGCTTTGGAGCTCACGGGTCAAAAGTGGCCCGGTCCTTTATAAGGCTTGCGTGGGGATACAGATCCAACACTATTATTATTATTATCTATAAATAAATTACAATCTTTTAAATGTGATTATCGCTTTAGTTACTACGTAAGCTATCAGTTCCCCCCTACCGCTCGCTTTTTTTCATGCATTTTATAATTTACAAAAATCTTGTAGGAACTGATTATTTCAATCCATAAGTACAAAGTTTACTTATGCATTTGCATAATTATCAGATTTCGGATAAACCTATCGTTATAAATTTACTGTTTTTTTTACTGAGGTAGTTTTTTCGACCTCTCGGGACTCCCCTATAGAGGCTTGGCGACCCCCAGGGAGTCACGACCCACGGTTGAAAAACACTACTTTAAAGTATCGATAACAAACATCGACTAACGATAAACAACACTAGACAGGGTGTGGACCTCTTTCAATATTTCACTGGCAGTTATAAAAAGGTTTTTTTGCGAGTGCCTGTTACAAGTGAATCTTTTGTGTTTGATATGAACTAGTTATTTTCGTATCTGTGTTCGGAATATGGAAACAAAGGGAGTTACAATTTTATTGTGCGAGAATGCAGAACTATTAAGTGAAATGTACAGTCGACAGCATATACTGTGAAAATAAATTATTTATATGACTTTTCATCATCATCATCATCATCATCTTAGCCATAGGATGCGTCCACTGCTGAACATAGGCCTTCCCCAATGCTTTCCATGTTGCCCGCTTGGTAGCGGCCTAGGCGTTCAGCGCTTTTCTTCTACCTTTACGATGTCGTCGGTCCACCTTGTGGGTGGACGTCCCATGCTGCGTTTTCCGGTACGCCGCCGGCATGAATTTAAAAGGTGCTATTTTGCAACATATACATACGAGTGCATTCTACACAAAAGAAATACGAAAGTAACTATCATGACCTTTCACGCTTATTATTAGAAAGAACCAGTTTTTATCTAGGTTTTGAAAGTCTTTGTCTGATAGGTAGACCATATTTATTTTTGTGTGACAATAGTTCAATCGTTCGTTCGTTTCAGCCAAATGACGTCCACTGCTGGACAAAGCAGCACTGCTAACAAATAAGTAACACGACATAATCCCCACTCCAAACCCCTTTTACTTTCATAACTAATAACACTATTGTTTATACTTTCCAACCCATTCCAATGTCTATCCAAACTTTTGTGCTTTAAGGTAAACAAAGTCCACAGATCAAATTGCTTAACTTTACCAAACCTAGGATGAAACGAAAACCCTAAATGAAAGCTTGCAAACTTTGCTTGAGTCCATGAAAACAAATATTCGAAACCACATGCAATAAATACCCAGTTCAAACGCTATTGTTCTACCTACAAACAATAACCAGGGAATACGACAATGTGTACTGAAGCTTATGACTCAGTAATAAAGCTCAAACTAGAACGGCCGGCTACAAGGAACAATACACACTCCAAACTGGATGGAGACTTAAAAGCTAGTAAATAAAGATTATAATAGACTGCAGCAGCTTACGAGTGCAAACGGGCGGTGTTGCCATAGTCAAATTGGGTGCAGTAACATGAAGTTGCTACCTTTAAGCCTTTAACAAATCCACATTTTTCATTTCTTGGACCTTAAGATAAGAGAAGACCTTCCATTTCTTGGTATAAAGATCTAAATGGGAGTTGTATTCCCACTAGGCATGGAAATGATTGCTATTTTCCGTTCATTTTCATTTCATGAAATGATGATTTTTATTCATGTGATTTCACATGTGAAATTTCACAGGCAATGATTTTTATTCGCAGTGTTAAAATATAGCTCTTTCATATAATGTGCTACTTTTAATGAAGTATGAATTATGATGAACGAGCAATCGTTCATCATAATTCAATTAGCTACCTATATTGAATGTGACTTAACCTTTAACTACTGACGTGGGGGCCTCTCAGGCCTTGCAAAAGTCAAATTGTTGAGTTTCTCCTT